TTTATCATTCAAGGAATCATTTTCATTGAATCTGGTTCCATTTAACTTTCTCATGGAGTGGAAGCAACACTATATAGCTTTTTATGTAGTTCTAGATCAGAAAGAAAATGCACCAAATGACTAATGTAGCCCCAAATTAGAATCTCCAATAATCTCTAGTGACTTGTGGACTATAATTTTCTAACATGGAGAACACTGTTGAATTATAATGAATACTCTTATTTCTGCAGGAATTTGCCATGTGGTAACAGTCCATTTCTGCTTTTTGTATTAGGCAGACAATGATACCAGTTAAGTATCTGAAATCTGTTTCCTTCCTCCTTAAGGAAACATTCTCTGGTATCTGTCAGTCTGAGTTCCCCTTCATAGCAATATGATGTCTTAGGAAAAACTGCTGATGCTCGTTACTGAATGTCTGAGGTTGCCCAGCACCATACTGGCGATGGTTAGTATATTGCTGGCGTTATAAACAAGGTTGGTTTGGGCTCATGTATTCAGTTTTCATCTTGCCAGAGCTTCACTGATCATGGGAGCCCATTTGCTGCTTGCTTTCACAAGCCATCCAGGGTGGAAGGAGGTGGCAAGTGTTAACTGTGGCCACTCATATGATTGCATGCATTAGGTGAATGGCAGAGATGTCACTGGACGGACTCAGGAAGAGCTCGTGGCCATGCTGAGGAGCACCAAGCAGGGAGAGACTGCCTCGCTGGTCATCGCCCGCCAAGAAGGAACTTTTCTGCCCCGAGAGCTGGTATGTTCCGATCACAGTCTTACTGAAGTTCCGGTACGAAACTTCATATACTCAGTGACTTCAAAATAGCTGAGAAATGAGTTCTAAGTCATAGGCTCCATTTCTAGCAAAAACTGAATCACATTGAGAGTGTTCTGCCCCATTTGGGGCATCCCTGTTTTAGAATGTTGATGCGGTGAGATGGTTATTTGCAAACAGTGCTTCAGGTGTACAAATTCAAGCACCTTTAAAGGAAGCAATTTAACAATATTCAGCTAAATAAAATACACACTGAGTATGTGCTGTGGGTTAAGCCCTATGCAAAACACAACCAGCAGAAGTGTTCATAGTTCTACCTTAGTGAAGTTTGCAGTCCAAAAGGAAATTAAAATGTAACCAACTATTTAAAACGGTGATAGAGTGCTATAGTAATACATAGCAAGGGAATTTAACCTCGTCTTGAAGGCTGGGAAAGGCATCTCAAGAAAGAGAATCTCTAAAGTCTTATTAAAAATGTATACCATTTGACCTAGTAACTATATTTTGCATAATTTGTCCTAAATTGATTATCAAAGATGTGGAAAAATTTCTTGTACATTGATTTTTTTTTCTAGAGTCCTATTTATTGTAGTGATATATTGGGCACTGTACAACCAGAAGGTATTGGTTAAATAAATAACTGGATAACTTTCCAATGAAATATAATAAGTACTTAAAATGGCCTCTGTGAGGAATTAATAATGAGAGAAGGTTCATAGTATATTGTTAGTAAAAAGTTGGGTATAAAATGATATATACAGTATGATCAAATTACATTAAAATCTAAAAAAAATGCTGGAAGGAGATGCACCCAAGTTGTTGGAATTACGACAGGTTTTCATTTTTTCATTTTTTTAACAGTGAACATGTCATTTTATTATTGAAATATTTCTTAAAAAGGCTTTGGGGAGATCCAGAGGATTTTAATGGTCAATCATAAAGAGGAATAGATGTGATAAGAGGACTTTTAATTACCCTTTGGTTTTTATTTCCTTTGAATCTTTATAAGAAATGACAAAGGCACATATGGGTAATATGATACGTTCCCAGAGTTAGAGCATCAGAACAGTGACAAGTTAGATGATAACATTTAGCGTAGTTGACTTGAAAAAGAGAACGTTTAGGACGCATGATAATTGCTATCAAATACATAAAGAGTTCTTGTATGGATTAAAAAGTACATTTTAATCTGTTCCTTCAAATAATTTATATCCATTAATTTATTTATGTATTAATTCAAGGAACAAGTTACTGAGCATGTGTTGTGCACTAAGTCGGAGGTTCTGGGGATACAAAAATAATTAAGACTAATTTCCTGCCCTATGTGAGCCTGTACCAAAACAAATACTTGGAAGTGATGATGTTACAAGAACTTTCTAACTGTCGGAGCTGTCCAAGAAGGAAATAGGCTAGTTAGCATACTGAAACAGAATCTGCCTCGCCACCTGCCAGAGAAGCTCTGGAAACAGTTCTCCCATTGATAAAGTGATAAGACTAGATAACCTCTAAGATTCCTCCTTTGTTACATGTGTTTATATTCATGTTTGAATATAGAGCTTTCCTGAATCACCTCTCTTATATATATATATAGACCTCTCTCTTACATATGGAATACACAACTCTGCCGTGGCATTGTATATTCTATATGTAAGAGAGGTCTATATATTCTTCATGTTTTATATGTAAGAGGTCTATATATTTACTTATTTGTATTATATATGGAATATATAGAATATATACAACAACCTCTCCCATATAGAGAATATACAGGCTCCTTCCCTCCATGTTTCTGTAGCGTAGAGTTTCCTTTTGATTCCTCCTCCTCAGTCCCATCATCATAGCCATTTTCCTCTTGCCCTGTTATATGCTTTGAGAAGACCTGTGGTAAAATAGGGAAAGGAAGATACACTCTCTTCCTCCTTTCCTCTACTTAATTCTTCCATCCCCAGCCACTTTGGAAAGCAGAATCTTGAATTTCTGCCTCATCTCCTCACTGAACCTCCTTACTCTTCCTAAAGAGAATGCTGTCAAAACTTGAAGTCTAGATTTTTTCCCTCTAAATTCAGATAGATTCTTCCCTTCAATCTTGTGTTTATCCAAAGACCTTGGTCTTTCTCTGCAAGGGTCAAAGCGATAAGAAACAATACAAAAGGGAACACCATGGATGGATAGCAGGAAGCCCGTACACTTCATGTTTAATTACTTGGTTGCTGGTGATAAAAACTCTTAGAAGACCTCGGGAGGACTGTGTACTTGTCTCAGGGACAGGAGAACTAGGAAAGAAGTTTTGATGTATTCTGTTGATCTGTGGTCCTGGGAGGAGTAAAATCCTGCATAGAAAGAGAAATACTCCAGGCAGCCCCCAGGCATGCAAAAGAACCCAAGGGCAGAGCTCCAGCTAGGAACTCAAACCCTCAGGAGTCCCTCATTCCCCATCTAATAGTTACTTATACCCCTTTTCCATATGTCCTCTAGAATTTCCAACCACGTAGCTAATTCCTTCTTCCTAGAAGCTCTCCACTCCCACCCACCCCCATCCCACCCCTGCATACCACCATCCCCACCCCTGGTAAGAGGGAGGGGAATGCTGGTCTTACTCCAGTTTGAAACTCTGAATGCATTTTCAATCAAAAACAATTACATCTAGAAGTTAGTAAATGGAATAAGAGAATTTGGGGACTGAACGGGAGCTGAATCAGTGAGTCCAATTCCACTTTTGCAGTTGAGAAAACAGAGGCTGAGGGCTGTTGAGTAACCTGCCTGTGGATGCACAGTGAGCAGGAACTAGATGCCCAGCTTTCCTAACACTTAGTATCATCTCTGGAGCTCAGCTTCTGTCCTCACCACCTACTGTGTGATCCAGAGCAGGTCACACAATCATTCTGGGGCTCAGTCTCCTCATCTGTATCATTAGATTGCGGTGAGGATTAAAAGATGATAATCTCTAATGAGGATGTCATTAGATTGCAAAGCTCTTAGTGTTGCTTCTGATCAGTTGTAAGTCTTCAATACACGTTAGCTGTAGTTATTTCTTCTAGAACATTACCACTTCTGTAGTATTAGAAACACAGTACTATATTTTATTGATATTATGGGATAAATAGATTTCTGCAGGCTTACCTGGGACTAAGCACTATTTTGAACATTAATTGTCTTCTTTTCCATTATTTTAAAATGTGTTCTGGTATGCAAAGTACTGAATTACAAATAAAATTTGTACAACCAACCAAATTTTCAAGCCAGGCAGCCTGTATATATTATTTCACTCTCATTTAATATAATTTAGTAAAATTGGATTTCTATCCCAGAAAGTGACATCATAGGCCAAGCCCACCAGGGAGCACATTAAATAAATTGTGCAACTGTGAGATTACGAGTGAAAATAAATTGTTTGTTCTCATCATTTTTCATTTTACACAAAATCTGGAGGGCCAGTAGTTAGTACCCATTCTCTTAGAATTTTCTGCCAAATCATGTCTTTAAAAAAGTATTTTATTTCTAACTATCCAAGTAAGTGGAATATTCTTTATAACCACGCAAAGTAGGAACCTTTGAGGCTTACAAGCACTAAAGTAATGTAGACCTAGAGTCTTTGTTTTGGAGGAATACGAAATACATTATTTTTCCAGCCCAAATACCTGTCTTGAATCCTAAATAGCAAGAACCATGCAGGAAGTTTAAGGAGAGGTCATGTTTGGTGTGCACGGACTCTTTCCATGGGAACTATTCAGAGTGTGGCACTGGACTGTTTTAAAGCATGGGATGGGGAAGAGTGTGCAATGTGATTCATCTTTGTGTTTTACTTTCAAAAAATTGAAGGTGGTGTCATTTGGGTCTCTTCTCCCGTATCGTGATGGATGCTCACACTTGACTTTCCATTGAAAATCTGGCAGGATGAAGGAAGGACAGCACTTCCTGCTTTTGTCCTGCTCTATCTCCTTTGAAGAAAACAAACTGTTTATTGGTTTCCTGTTCTGAGATGCTGTCCTCTCCCTTTTGTTATGCTGTGCTATTTCATGAGCTCTGCACCCTCTTCACAGCGCTGCTCTGCCTGTTTTCTGACAGTTAAATCTTCCTCACTTCCTTGTTATCATTAGCTCCTTACGGCTCGCAGCCAAGGGAGCATGTGGTCAGCAGTTCCCCAGGAAGTCCCAATATAGGATGGTCCCTCGGATGTGACCCTCTGTCATTCCAAAGGCCTCAGCATCCATTTCCTGGTCATTTCTCCTGACTTGCCACATAAGAGAACTGTGCTGAATTCTTACATTTGCTGCTCTGTGTCTTCCTTCCCGAGTGACTGGTTAGTATCACCGTTGTAATGGCACATTTAGCCAGCCGTCCTTCCATCTGTGGCCAGCTGGGTTGAAAATAAAATGAGAGGAATTGATGTAAGAACATCATAACTATTTAGCTCTTTCTAGTATCTTTACTAAAAGAATTGTGCTTCAAAGGTAATCTTTCCAGAATCCCAGTCTGGAAGATCCTTTGATGTTCTCATCACCTTACTGAGTGAGAGTTTATTAAAGAGGTGTTCACATAGGAACATTTTTGCAAAAGGGGCTTTGAGATTACTGTCGGTAATAGAATCAGAAGGTGAAACTGCCGTGTCTGCGTCTGCACTTGAAACGAAAACCATGCTACTTATTTGGTGGTTTGTTTGGTCTGTTCTATAAAAGACATGGTCTGCAAGTTCTTTTCCATCCCTGGTACCTGAAATTCTTTTTTTCCTGCGCAAAGTGTCAGATGAGTTATCTTTCCACTTAGAAGAGATTCTGAAAAACTAAGAGTTTTCTGTTTACTCTGTGCCTTTACTTTAAGAGCTTCAGAGAACGAGGCACTGAGCTATTGGCCATGTGTGTGCATGTCCATGTACGTGTATGTCGATGTCTTCTTCCATTTACTGGGGGAAAAGAAACCTTCTGCCATTTCACTGTTAACCTCTTTAATGTTTCATGTTCTGACCTGCTGCCTTATCTTTAAAT